TTTTTAAAATCTTTTTGTATTTTGTTATAATTCATTTATTTTAAATACAAAATGCATCAATTTAATTTATTAAATATGTAGTGTTCTGTGTAGTATTTGTGTTTAGTAATTAAATTAGTTTGACCCAATTGAATTTGAATATTTTTGAATCATTCCTTTATTATCCCTGCTCTAAATAAATACTCTATTTTTCTGAATGAGCCAGACTAATTGATCAGAGTACATACATACATACATACATACATACATACATAATGTTGTTCCCGTTTTATGTTTTTGGAATCAGGGAATTTTAAAACGTCGAGAAATGAAAAAATCCCGAAGAGTCAGAATTTTTGACTGATTATTTTACTTTTCCTGTTACTCTCTTACCTTAACAGAGTTTTGTTTGTTCTCTTACTGTTACTATAACAACCGAGAAAGTAGCCTATTTAGCTAATATAAATACATTATATAAGTTTAAAATAAATGCAAAATATTGTGTAATTTAACAATTTAATTATATAAGTACTGCATCTGAATGACATAAGTAGACTTACATATTTTATTGAATTCATTAAATATCTTCAATATGTCCTGATAAATACTGTATAATTAAAAACCCGTAATGATTAGAAAATATAATTTTTATTAACAAATAATTGTTTTTAAACATTATTACCAGATATTATTTATTTTACGACAAATTGCTGAATCATTTAAGTTCATTTTACGCATCATAAATTTGCAAAGTAATTTTAAAGAAAAGTGGGGAAAAAAAAGGTTTTATGTAATATAGTTCCGTCATAACTCTATTTAACGCGTAAATTTCTTTAAAAAATTCAAGTAATTATAAAACTCTCGTTAAAAACATAGAAAAAGTGGTAAATTAGAATGGTTTATCTTGCATTTAAAATTGTTTTTCTTTTGACCCGTGGAACGAATTTTTAAAAAGATATGCATTACAGCTAAGCAAACTCAATCTTGTAAACTATTTTTATATGAGAAATGGGTCAAAATAAAAACCATACCACCAGACTCTTTTAAATAGTAAAAGATCTTGTTTTTCATTTTACGACTATTAACAAACTCGAACTGATGTTTTAATCTCATCTGTAATGGGTCTAGTTAACATTACTATTCTACATAAAACAGAAAAGTGCCGTCAACGTGTCATTACAATAATAAATAATATAAATTAATTATATTTTTTAATTTTTTTTTACAATTTTTAAGTGTAGTTTAACTTTTTAAATATATTTTGTAAGAGTATAAACTTTTTATGACATTTATTAATAACCTTTCGAGTTTTAAACTATTAATATTATGAATAATTCAAAAAGGGTGAGGTCATATACAAGTTTTTAATATTGTTTACATGCAAATTCGTTAAAATATTGTTATAAAATATTTAAATTTTATCTATTATACAGTAATTTAAGATAATTACGACTCATAAATTGTATAAAAGTGTAGCAAAAAACTATGTTATTGACTGTATAAAATCATTCGAAATAGCTTCTTTATGGGATGATATAAACAAAATTATCACTAAACAGGACCTAAATACTGTACTAAAATATAAACAAATCAAAGTTAAATCTGACATAGTAATTAATGCGGATATTCGCCTATAAATATCTACAAAAACATATATATATATATATATATATAATACGCGCGATTATAAATCATACCAATCGAACAGCGTGAAACAAAAAATAAAATAAAATCCAGCTGTAGAATAAATAACGGAAATAGAAAGGTGACCGATAAAAGTGAATATTCCGCATTGGATTTTTTTAACGAAAAAGTTAAACGAAGCAAGAAATTACGATCGGAATAATTGAGGCCATACGAGATATACATTTAAAATAACGAAAGTATTTATTTCTTCAAGATGGCATAGGCAATGAAGAGGGCGCCGTAAGACGGAAATTTTTAGAACTATTGTGTCATGGCGGAGGAAGGACGGTTGTATTAAGTTTACGTGTGGGTTAATTGCATCCGTTCGACCGTAAAAGAAACTACAGCTATCCAAATGGTACGTATATTATGTAAGAATAAGTACAGTTAATTCATTACTAGTCTACAATTGTGTTATATTACGCGTCATAAAATAATAACGCGATGGTTTGTTGAAATCGACGACTTCTTGAAATTGACGACTTTATGATGATCGGGAACATCTGTTGAGTTATTAAAAACAAAGTTTTATATAGAATTCAATCTATTTATAAGCGTATAAATGAAAATTTCGTTATTGTTTTAACGATCTCTTTCGTAGGGATATTTAATTCCAGTCAAATAATAATAATAATAATAATAATAAGTTTAAAAAATTGTGCGGAGAAACAAACTCATCGAGGTCATTACGAAGACAGTACTTTGAACTTCGTCGAAAAAAATAATAATCATACACGTTTTAATTAATTTTCTTCTATATTTGAGAGATTTGACAACACTTTTCTATTTCTTAAATCGGAACAAGGCTTTTAAAGAGGAAATTTTCTGTATAAAAAGAAAGTCATCGATGCTTAATGGTTTGTCCGAATTAACTCTAGGTTATCGAAAGTGACCGACTTTTGGCCCGTTTTAATTTAAAATTATATTTTTGTACGCGACTTGTTCTCAATACGTCAAAATCGCTTGTGTTAAAAAGAGAATTTTCTTACGTCAACGCGACTAAAGGACAATTGAGAGTAAGAGTGAGTTGAATTTCCTCCTCCTGAGATAATCTTGACTCATTATATATATACATTTCTTTTTTTTTTCAATATATATCCTGATTTTATTCGAGTTATTTCAATTATTCTCGTTTTCTAAATGTAGTCGATACCTGTTAAACACGACTTAGGTCAATAACTGAAGATCGGTGTAAAGTGTTTTACCCTACAGAGGCCTCAGTTGGGCTTCAAAGGATTCAGTTAACTCCTGGGTGAGAATCCCATTAAGTTTGGGATCATTGTAGTCTCTACAACTGAGTTTTTTTTTTATGTAGCCAGCGCCTTAGAAGAAAAAAAATACCAAAGTAGTTGAGTAATATTCCCAGATAATTTAGAAATCACATCTACCATCATTTCAATATTATAAATCTTTATTTCCTTATTAAGATAACGTAGATAAACTACTGGATAGGCTGTGTTATCGGTAAATTAAACATTATTAAAGGTCAGTCATGTTAAATCTGTTTAAGTTCAGTAGCAAGGTCTTTTACTCCTATACTTTTACATAATGCTATAATGTAATTTAACCTTACTATGATCCGTGTATAAAATAATTTTTTTTTTGTAATTTTTGTATCAGGGAAAAGTTTGTCTTTTGATTTATTCATTTTGCTGTATTTAAAATTCTTTGTGCTTATAGAAATGTAAATAGTTAACTAGTATATGTGTAAAATAGACCCAAATATCTTTATCTATAAGATCTAATCAGGAATTATAGATTTAATTCTAAGAATAAAGATCTGAATGAAAGACTGCTCGAATTTGGATAATTAAACAAGATAAGTTATCAGGGAAAAAAAGGTGAAGATTGATAAGAATGAACTCTTAATCTTTATATGTATCGTAGACCTATAGAAACTTCACAGTTATAGATCGGAAGCGAAGAATGATATATGGAAATTTGATACGACTTTAAACGGGATTTTCTCCTATGACATCACGCGACCAACAGCCTTTTAATTTTGCATGGAATTTTTACGGTCACGGACTTCTATCACGAATGACACGCTACGATTCAATCGCATATTAAGCTCACTAAGGAAAAATCGAATATTCAATGATGATAGTTCGTTTTTACTATCAAAATAAGAGGTAATCGTTTATCGAAATTTGTAAATAATCTAGATATTTAGATCTTTGTTGTAACTTTTATGAATGAATTTATTGTCTTATCATTGTGCGCTTCGATTTTTGTTACAGTATTTATATGCAAATATCTTTTATCGAATTTTAAAATAATAAATGTATTTTTTATATTAAATTTTAAACTATATCACTTAACTCGAAAGATAATTAAATGAATATTATAAATTCATTGTCCTCCTTTGGCTACGATGACAAACAGTTGTGAATAGCTTTACTCGTGACCTATTGATATGACCCATTGGTGTCATCAGTTTTTAATCTAAAGACGTAATAATTGGCGATGTAGTCTTATTCGTTGGACATAGTACCTGTGACTCAACATTGTAGCCTACTCAATGACCTTACTAAAGGGTCAAGGGCATATACGGTGATGAGGATTTCGGCGAATAATTTCCCTCTCCTTTTCACTTGTCACATTTGTCTATTTATATCATCAATTCAGCTTATTACTTTAAGATTGCCTTTTAAAGAAAACTTTAAAATTCGTAAGAATTGATAACTATTTGAAAAAAAAAAGTTTTTAGTAAACCCCAAGGGGTTAGCTATATATAGTCGTGAGGTAGGTCCTCGTTTTCCTTGACCCATATGAAAAATTCGGATATTTTTAAACTCACTTTCAGCGGAAATACATCGTTTTTAGTAAAACGTCGCATTGGTATACATGTTAAAATATTGAATAATGATCGATTCCTTTCGTTTTTTCTCTTTTTACTGAACATATATTGAATTAACTGGTCTGAACTTTGACAATCAAGATCGATTTTCTTTGACTGCCGTTATTGAAAACGAGTAATGTTAAAATTGCATAATGTTAGCGCCCTTAATTGTACGAATATTTAAAAATCGTACTTAGAAAATCTTATTAAGCTAAATACTATTAAGAAGTCACGGTTGGTGTATGCTACCCATATGTTCTTTTGTATCAGAGACCCTGGCCTGTTTCTATAATTGATGTTTTAGAACGATTCTTTCCCTGTTTATAGTTATGCAAAGTTTATCTTCGACTATAAAACTCGTTTCTTTCCATCCCTACAAACTCCCTCGTTAAAATTATTGTTCCCTGTAGCTTTTCTATACAAATCAAAATCCACATTTATCATTAAATTGGGTAAGCATTAAAAATTTGCAAGTACTGTAGTTCTATATGCTTTTTTTTTATAAAATTAGTTTTAAAAATTATTTATCATTAGGTATTTTTGAATTTTACAAACGAAATATTTTTAATGAAGTTTTACAAAATTTGTTTTGATTTTTGACATATTTTTATATGTGGGAAGTACGCCCACACGATACTAGTACCTTGATATTGAATGGTTTTAGTTTACATTTGATATCCTTTCTTACTTACTAAGGTTAATTATATTCTTTTGTACACGTAAAAACAATTTTTAAAAATTCAAAAAAAAATAATACCGAATTATTGTTTAACCAAAACAGGTTTTAAAATGAAGTTTATATTTTTGTCTACAATTTCGTGTCTGTAAATTGTTGTTTAAGGGGAAATTTTCGACTATAATTAAGGAAATATGCTAGAAATTCAAAATAACTTATTCTTAACGATAAACCGCAACATTAAAAATTATTTGCGTTTGACATTGGTTGTTTGACATTAACAATCCTTCCCATTGCCAATTTATAGACCAACACGTGTATGAGATACGCTTGAAAGAAAACGTGATGAAGTCACATTAACTATATAATATTGAAAAAAGAACAAGTTTATTTTGCGAAAAACTTTTTAAGAAGCTTATTCAATTGTTGAAAGATAAATATTGTCAAAATAAATAGTAATCAGGTATTAATGCATTTTTGCAAGTCATTTAAACCTACTTTTATGAAAATGCTTCTATTTAAATCCTTGAAATTTATGACTAAGTTTTTTTAAAAAGAAAAGCATATGTACTGTACAGTACTTTAGGCTGTTTACAGGAATGTAAGTAACTTTTGTAATGAGCTTTTATCATCTAGTACTTTACTTCTAGTAAATGGTATAGTGGTTTAAATTTTCTTACTTAATATATATTTAAATTTTCTTGCATAGAAATTGAGAATTTCTAAATATTTTATTAAATTAGTTTATCTTTTAAAACTACTAATTTGAAATTAGTTAAAACATTAATTCAAAGTGCATAAATTCTAGCATAGCATTTATATACCATACTTTTAAAGAATATTAAAAAGAAAAATACATGTGTCCTGCTTTATAATATCCTTAAGACTTTTCTTACATGAATAATGAGTAGCCTAAAAACAATTAATTTAAATAAAAGAATCTGTATGTGAATGAATTTCCTGTAATTCTCTTAATTAATATTTAAATTGATAAATTAGTTTTGTATTTAATTAATAAAAAGTGTTAAGAAAAAAAGAATCATTTAGCATTACTTAAAAATTAAATAAAAAATAATTATTTAAGTAATTTAGTTTTTAAAAATATTATAATTATTGATAATAAGTCCATTGTAAGTATCAGAATACTCTATGAAAGAAAGTCTGAAATAATAAAATTTAAGAATTTTTAAAATATTTATTTTTTTACATTTTTTTTACAAATGCTTATGATTAATTTTAATTATTAGATTGATATATTTTTAATTAAAACTTAATTTAAAAAATTATTTGAAAATTTGATGAATTTAATCATAATGTAATAAATTAATATAATATTAGTTTAAAAGCAAAGCTTCATATGCAAACTTATTAAAGAAATAATTTTATATTCTTTTTCAAAATGTTTTTAGACATTTGAACTAGTTTATTTAGTAAAACCAGCAAAAATTTTCATTGAAATAAGGTATTCTGAATGCTAATTATTTTATATAGGCATGTGGTTTTCATGTGCATAACATATAATTAACACATATCTAGCATTTTAAATATATAATTATATAGTAACTATATAATTATAAATTTATATATATGGTGTGTATATAAATATAAAATAGAGTAATATTTACATGATAAATTAATATAATGACATATATTTATTTCCAGTTATCCATGAATACATTTTAATTTTAATATTCAGAATGATAAATTCAATATAATAGCTTAATAAATTAATAAATACACACTCAGACAACTCAGAATTTTCTGTTTTATAGTTAGATAATTTCTGTATTTGTAAAATTAGTTATCCTTGCAATACTGATAATTACAGAAATCCATAATAATTACACAGAAAATTAAAGTCCTCAGAGACCACATTCAATGTTTCTATTGCTGTTTTGAATTTATCAGAAATCATATTTAATGAATAACTGGCATTTCCCCAGGGATTAAGGATAGATAGTCGTATAGACTTACTTTTCATAATTACTGCTGTTTTGATTTTGAAAGTTTTTTAATCCCTTTTAATTCAGTTTTTATATTATATTAAAAACAATATTGAGTTTAATTCTGTAAATATTTTATTTATAATTTACTAATATTTCAAATTTCTGTTTAAAAATATGTTGTTCTATCATATTTCTAAATTAAAAATATCTCTACATATTAGGTAACTGACAAATTTGGTTTAAATGTAATGCCAATAATAAAAGTGTTATCTTTATAATAAATGGAACTAATGTTCTTTAGAATGGTTAAATTTAGTATATTAATGAGTTTTGATATTTTACAAAATCATTATTTTAAACTCGTTTACCTATTTTTTTCTCTTTATATTTATTTTTCTCAGAATGATTTAATTAAAAAAACACCCAAGGATATGTTTCTTAAATGGGTTACGATAATTATTTGTTTGATTAATATTTTTAAAAATGTCTTAAATTATTCTGAACAATAATAAATTACTTTAGTTTAAAAAAAGTGTGTAACCAATTTTCTTAATAAATTAGTTTGACTAGCGAATATAATCAAATATATTAAAATCATTGATTGTGTTATTTAATTTGTTCTTATTTAGGCAAATAAAATAAACTCTCAAATTCACTTTAATCTATGGTTGTAAACAGTTTAGATTTCAATTATGTCTGTAGCACATACACTTTAAGTTTTTTTCAATGTATTCTTCCAATCTTTAGTGAAAAAGCATTAACAATAACATAATCTGTTCACTAGTGGGTAGCTTATTTAATTTTAATCAAAGCACTTAAACCTTAACTTAGTGAACTTGTGAGAAAGTTCAATTTTGAATTGTTTTATCTCTAAGAATAAAATAACTTTTGAAAGGCATTTATTTCACTAATACTTTATAGATTTCTATGTAAGTATATTTTTATGTCTATTAAACATACTTAAAGTTTATGTTTGTGTTAAAGTTAAATTTAATTTTAAGTAACTTTATGTTACTTAAATTTTATGTATTTTTAATTAAATACTGATATACAAAATTAATACTTATTAATACAAAATTACAAAATATAAAGTATACCGATTTTAAAAACTATAGTTTTTTAAACTTAATATAACTTAAACTTTTATTATATTTTGTAATTTCTTAATATTAAAGTAATTTAATATTTACAGTAAACAGTTATATTTTGATTTATCTATTTTATTAATTTAATTAATCTTGTTAAGTGAACTTAATAATATTTATTTCACACTAATATTGGAACTTTGTGTTTTTAATGAATAAGAATTCTAATATAAATTATCAGTCCTATAGAAGCAAAAACAAAGTTTTGAAAATAAATTTCCTTTGCAAATAGGAAATAAATACGTAATTTCTTTAGTTAACTTAATTTCATGTTGAGCTTATTAAATAATAAGTGTTTGTATAAGTTTAAATTTAATATTAAAAATTTAATATTTTTAATATTTTAGGAAGTATACATTATGTTGATGACATTTCTTATTAAATGGAAAAGAAATATTTCCATTTAATATAAAATTTATTAAAAGATAGTTAATTATCTAAGTACATATATAAAACACCAGAAACTGTTGATATGTTACTTATGTACGTACTTATTATTAATTATTTACTTAACTATGTATGAGGAATATTGATTAATTTTATTATTATAAAAACATTATTATGATAATCATTCCAGGTAAAGTTCTGGGACTCTGAATATAAAGTTGGCCTTGAAGAAGACATTTGAATTGCTATAGTTCAAAAATTTTCCCTGATGGAAATTTTTAGATCTAAAATATATAAAAATTCCCTAAGAATATAATTTTTTATAACTTAATTATTTATAGAAGCATATATATATATAAGAAAACAAGATATTTATCAATTATTAAAATTTAAACTTACCTTACCTTAAGTTACCTTAATAATGATCTCCTAGCTATTGACAAGTTAAAGATAAGAGTTCTTGAAGTTTTCCTGTTATCAATTAAGTTATTTAATGTAATTTTTCTGTAAGCTTATTTTTATTTTTTATTCTCTTTCTCACAATATTGTCTTAAATTAAATTGCATCAAATTAGAAGTAAAATGTAATAAATATATTTTAAAACTATTTTATTATTATTACTAGAATATACATCACAAAAATTTAATTCTAAATACTTTATTATTTTTATTTTTACAATTAAAATCTTATATTATAGTTGTTTTTGTTATTTGTAACTGTTTAATGTTTATTTTTCAGGATCGGTTATGTAAAAAAAGTTTTATTTATTTAAACTTATGGAGTCCGACAACACAGATGAAGATCTGCACCTTAATACTGAAGAAAGCCATTTCTCTTTAAGAATGGCTTTTTCTGTAGTAAAATGGTTAAAGTTAATTGGTATAAATTTAGTGGCATTTGGCCTTGATTTATGCTCTAGTGCTGGCTTTAGTTATGTTCCACCTCTCCTACTGAAAGCTGGATTTACAGAAGAACTGATGACCATTATTATGGGCATTGGTCCATTCATTTCATTATTTCTAGTCCCTGTAATTGGTCACTGGAGCGATAAATGTGAGAGTAAAATGGGTCGGCGACGTCCTTTCATCCTATTTTTAAGTTTATTGATGTTAGTATCATTAGCAGTAATACCATATAGTAATGAAATAAATAATTTATTTTCATTTGGTATGAAAGGTGCTATGTTTGTTCTTGCAACAGGAATAATTCTTCTTGATTTTACTAGCCAAGCATTACAAAATCCGTGCAAAGCCTTGATCTCAGATATGCTTATATCATCACGTGATCAAGAATTAGGTTTCACTGTTTATTCTTGTATGCTTTCACTTGGAGGATGTATAGGATATTTTATATCATCATTAAATTGGGGATCTACAAATTTAGGACAACTCTTAGGAAGTCAAGAGAAAGTAGTTTTTGTATCTTTAGCAGCACTTTTTGTTATTTTTCTAGTTGTTAATTTATTCCTTGCTCAAGAGACTGTTTACCATCCAATTAAAGAAGAAATACAAATTGTTATTAATGGCTATGATAAAGTTCACTTAAGCAATGGAAATAAAATTTCACATTGTCAAAATAAAAACACAGTTACTGCAAATGGAATTAATAGTAATAAGAAAACTGAAACTTTTCTCAATGGTACACATGTGCCTTTTAAAAAGCTAGCACATTGTAATGGAATGAAATTATATGCAAAGAATATGACTGTAGAGACTTTTCAAAAAAGCAAGTGTACATTTTCTTTGTGCCTTTTATCATTGAAGAGATTTAGCCACAGGACAATAAGTGCACTAAAAATTCCAATATCATCAATATTAAGGTGTTTGAGTGCTCCTCTAAATAGGATTTTATCCCCGTGGCTAAGGTTGCATGGATTTATATATATGCCACGCCGTCTTTTCCATTTATTTGTAGTATCACTTTTTAGTTGGATGGCAATTATGTGTCATGACATGTTTTATACAGATTTTGTTGGTCAGGTGAGAAATACTTTTGTATTCTTAAAGAAAATTTTAAATATTTTTTAATTTTAATCAAATCAAACAGCCAAACTGTGCTAGATGTCATGTACTGAAACAAATTACATTGTCAAATTCCTAGCACAAAAACAGTTTGAAAAATACAATTTATTTGGTTATTTGATTTGTTTGTAAATTTGTTTAATTTTAATTTTTATTTAAAAGCAATATACTCTATTTTATTATTAACAGTTTCAGATTATGAATCCAACTTCAGACATAAATCAAGGCAAAAAGTTGTTGTTATTATAAACTCTTATTTTTCTTACTTATATTTATTATTAAATAAATAATTAACAATTAAATTTAATTTAAAAACTATTGAATATCTATAATATTTTTGAAAGCTCTTGGAAGAAAATATTTTATATTTTTTCAGATTAAATCTCTATTTGATAAATGTTAAAAATATTAAATATAATCATGGAATCTAAAGTAAAATGATTGCTTATTGTTATTTAGATTTAATCTAGCAAGATAAAAAATAATTTATAAATATGAGTAAGTGAAACCATACTTTTTTACTTTTGTTTTGATTTAGATATTAAAAAAAAAATGGAGGACTTAACAGGAATTATTTTGGTCTAATAAATTACCAGTATTTTTCTAATTGCTGGCAACATTATTCTGCAGCTTAGTTTTCAAATTAAAGAGTAGAAGAGTATAAAAGAATTTGTTTACAATTTAACAGAATAGCACCTAACACAAATTTCCAGCAAACAAATAAACAATATTTACTGTTCAAATGTTTTCAGCCACAATTTGTTGACTTTCTTCAGGATTGAATATGAAAAACCATGCTATCGATCAAATATTACTGCATTCTAATTTTTTTTTAACTTTCAAACATGTTCGAACCAGGCTGTGAGGTACAGTCACTTTTGGTAAAAGTGCATCACAGTTGTTTACAACTTATTTTCAACTTTCCTTGATAAGTGATAAATTTCATATTGACAAGATATGTAGCAATACCAATGTTGTCATTCATTTTTGCTTGTTGTTATTTCTGTTATTGGCCATGAGAGTTTGCTGAGAAATTCTGTGCTCAATTTCTAAGAAAATGTAGTGGATATACAACAGGAATGGAGATGGTTTTTTTTTCAACAGTTCTGTTTCTGATATCTTTTTCTGGTTTCAGATGATGTGGAAAAAAAACATAAATTTTAAATAATTTCAAAAATAGTTTGATTTTGGATGATAATAATTAAAATTTTTGTACTTTAATTTTAATATTATGATCTTTAGAATCTTGACATTTTTATAAATTTTGATTACACTAATATGATTACTTAATATTAATCTAATATTCAGGCATCCAAGAAAAATCTTTGTTATTATACAAAATTCATAACAGAAAAATGAAGCAGTCTATTGAAATGCAGTTTGTAGTAAATAAAAAATAGTTTGAAAAGTTTATTAGCATACATTCAATAAACCTCTGAATTCCTGTAACTGTTTTAGAACAGTTTTTTCATCGACATTGGATGAACCAGTTTCACAATTTCATCCAATGCCAATGGGTAATCATAATCTTTTCAGTGCTGAACACTTGTCTTTAAATTTCTGCATCCAGGAATAAATTGAAGGGACATTTGATGGTGTTTCTGTACTTCCTGTGATACTTTGCACAGTTATAGCAATTTTTTTTTAGCTAACCACAATACACATTGTATTTTTTTCTTTTATTGTCATCATTTTTAATTCCTCAAGCTACTAGCATCATTATAACATTTGCACTAAAAAGTTTTCGAGTTATTTTTTCTTTTACCACAAATTGCAATTCAATAGACTACTACATTTTTGTGTTATGAATAGGGCTGTCTAAATAAAAATTTTGATACTGATATTGTGCTTGATATCAAAATTCCTTTGATATATCAATATTTCAGTATGTCAATATTCTAGATAAGTATTGAATATTGATATTCTTGATTTTAGACTATTCATATAGATATCAGTTTGATATGTCATTTATTGGCACAACACTAGTTATGAATTTTTATAATAGTAAAAATCTTTCTCAGACATCTTGTACTATAATTTTTAAATCTTGCATAAACATTTCATATTTAAGTAATTTTTCTTATGGCACTATTTTAATAATTCTTTATTTCAATAATAAAATACTGTATTTATCTTATTAAAACTAAATTTACTATCAAATATTTTTAGAAATTTAAAATTTTATTGTCAGAGAAAAATATATTAATTAAAACAGCTATTTCCAATTTTATTGTAAGTTTTTAGCACTTGTTTGTTTATAGATGTGTTATATTTAATGACATAGTCTATTCAATTAGCATTGATTTTTATCAATTTAATAAAAAGTAGTAATTTTTATGATCAGAATATTTATTAAGTATTTTCCAATTGTGTTTTGCATAGATAATATTAATTTTTAAATTATTAATGCATAAAATAAATTATTAGTTACAAATTATTGTTAAGTTAAACAGATTGAGTGAAATTGTTGAATGAAAAACTAATTTTACACAATTGTTTTTTACATACATACATATTTCTATGATTAATGAATAATTTGCAAAAAAGCTATTGGAAGTAATTCAAAATTAGTTTGGAAATAATTTTATAGTTGATCTTGAAAGAAATCTTGAAAATTTGTTATGTTGATTTTAATATATATATACAGTCGACCCCCCCATATCACTATTCATAATTCTGTTTTATATGAATTCCATGTTGTACGAGTCACTTAAATTTTACAAATACNTGTGTATATATATATATATATATATATATATTGAAACATATATTACATGAAATTTATGTGTCATCTATCATTTTCAATTTTTATTTACTAATTCCTTATTAATTTTCATTTCATAAATATGAAATTCTTGTCTGAATTCATTATTAACAATTTTAATATTCTGACAAGATGTCCTTGTTTTATATTTGTTTTTATAAATTTCTTTTCTTCAACTTGCATTTAATTAAAGCATACAATGTTCAGCTACCATAACTTGTTTTATACAAGTACTAGTATGAAGAAGTATCGGTAATGTTTCGTAGTCAAATATCTCTAAGAAAGTTTTACATGAACATGAAGAAATAATTATTATAATAAATTATTATAATTATTAGCTAGCTAGCACATTATTATTTAATTTTCTAATTTATAGAGTACTGTCAAATTTTTTCCTTATATTAAAATTTTCATGATTTTTTCATAATTGTTTTCATATTTAAATGAATTAAGATATATAATAAATGTAATATTTTTTAAATTAGCAATTTAAAAAATATTTTAACTAGTTTTTCCTTTATATAATATTGAATATTACATAAAGGAAAAACTAGTTAAAATATTTTTTAAACTTTCCATGAACACTGTTACTATTTCCCTGTTAAATGACAATGATTTAATTCCAAAGAAATTAATTTTGTATCAATAACAATATATATTTTAAATAATATTATAAAAAATAAAACTATTAACTTAACTATATTTTTCATTCTATACAGACTTGAAAAGTTTTAAATTTATTTTAGAAATTATTATTTAATCTTCCTGACAAGTTTTCAAGGTCTTAAAATAATTGAAAAGTTTTTTATAATTCTGATGTAATAGCACAGAATGAAATATAAAGGTAAACTGTTAAGATGTTTTTTATTTGAAATAGATTTACATCAAAATATTTCATAATAAAATAATGAATTATAACTAAATTATGTTTATAAAAAATACAATTTTTAAAAATATCATGTAATTATAAAAAATTCTATAGGAAAAATGAATATGCTAAAAAATTTTTAAATTTAAATATAAATAAACATTTGTTTTTTATTTTGCTGTTTAAAATTTCAAAATTATAACAATACAATATACGAAACATGTTTTGAATTTTTTCTGAAAAGTATTTAAATATAAATTATTATTCTGCTAATTACAGTCAACCTCCCTATAACACTGTTGATAATTCCATTTTATATGAATTCCATGTTGTACGACTCACATAGATTTTACAAATATGTGTACCAGGCTGTGAACANAGAAACTTAGTCTTTTTGTATATAAATTTGAATAAAAAAATTCATTAGGAATATGAAAAAAGTATTTAAAATGTTCTTGATTAGAAAGAAAGGTACACAGTTTTTAAGTAAATTTTTGTAAACTCCTTCCATATTCTGCAACTCTTAAAAATATTGCTGAGCATTGATGATTATTGCTTAAAAATTAAATTAAATAAACACACAACAAATTTTGATAAATGTTTTGTTTTTTATTTGTCAAAATTTATTTTTATAAAGAGCATTGATGATAAATTTTTAACCATTTTTTTAATATAGTTTCCAAAAATATAAATTTATTTATATTTTTTTATTGAAGTTTTAAATATATATTTAATTCAATTAGGTCTCCATATTTGTCAGATCTGTTTTTCTGGATTTATGTACCTAGTTAAATATAAATTCATTATAGAATAATAATTAAATTTACATTACTTAAGAAAGTACGGTTTTCTTTATAATTGTTAAATTACTAATGAATAAAAAATTATAATTTTGAAGAGTAATCTTTTTACACATTGAATATAATAGTCTTTATTTGTAATAATTGTTTATTTGTCTCCTATAATATAATTCTGTATATCTTAAAGTATAAATAATACTTGCATGAAGTACAAAAATATATATTATTATTTATCTCCAAATTTCCATAAATTTACTATTTCACAGCAGTCATGTTAATTCAAAATAGAAGTATACAAAATATAGAAGTGAAATTATTTTATTAAAATGCTTTTGCTCTTACATTTGTGAAATTTTATAAAAATGTTTTTAATAAGACTGGAAATTGAAGGAAAAACAAATGACATATTTTCTGTTAAAAGCATATACCTGTAGATATTTTTTAAAATGTTTGATCATTATAATTGAAAAAAGAATGCAGGAAAAGTTTTTTAACTCTAGTTTGTCAAGTATTCCCACTAAAGAGTTAAGATGAAAGAATAAAATTTAATAAGTACTGAATGAGTATTTATACAGAACTATTTTCATTGATCCAAATTTTAATTGTAGCAATTACAAATTATTTTTTTTTTGTTTTTCAGAAATTTTTTACNGATTATTGCTTAAAAATTAAATTAAATAAACACACAACAAATTTTGATAAATGTTTTGTTTTTTATTTGTCAAAATTTATTTTTATAAAGAGCATTGATGATAAATTTTTAACCATTTTTTTAATATAGTTTCCAAAAATATAAATTTATTTAT